AAAATACTAGGTGACAGGATCAAATATTTTGTGATAATGCTCAAATCATCATATGATTTATAGAAATATCTCATTTTTCCCCTTATCCTAGACACTGTTTATTTTAGAAACTTAAGTAATTCTAAAGTGCTGTTTATTGTCAGCTTTTGTTAAGCACCAATTTCTATCTTTGTGTGATTTTGAAAATTTCAGTATTCCTTACTGATCTAGATTTAGATCATTCATTTTATCACTTTTTCTTTTTCTTTTTTTTCAGTCATGGTATCACTCTGTTGTCCAGGCTGGACTGCAGTGGCACAATCATGGCTTACCATATCCTCGACCTCCTGGGCTCATGCAAGCCTTCTGCCTCAGCCTCCCAATTAGCTGGGACTACAGGTGTGCACCGCCACACCTGACTAATTTTTTAATTTTTTTTGTAGAGACAAGGCCTCACTGTGTTGCCCTGGCTGGTCGTGAACTCCTGGGCTTAAGCTATCCTCCCACCTTGGCCTCCCAAAGTGCTGGAATTACAGGTGTGAGCCACCATGCCTGGCTTTTCTTTTTTTTTCCACTTTAAAAAAATGTCCAAGTGAATGAAATGCTGTATATATCAAAAGGAAATTGATCAAATGAGCTCATGTATCTAAGAGTGTCATATATTATTGAGAAATAGACCCATGTGATGTAGATGAAAGAATATGACATATATTTATGGTCAAGTTACAATTGTTTCACTTTGTGTCTGTGTGACCCTTAACTAGTTTCTTAACTTGTCTTAGTCTCTTCCTCCACAAATAGGGGAAAAAACAAGTTTTGCATGCATTTTAATATTATTTTAGAATAAAATGAGAATTAATTGTATTATTTTGAAATTTGTCAACTGCCGTTCAGATGAAAAGAATATCATGCACACACAAATAAAACATATTTTAATTGTAACTTTACCATACATAACCATATTAAGTCATAGAATTTTAGGATGTTGATGTCCAAGGTATCACTTTTTTTTTTTTTTTTTTT